TAAAAACTTTTCATTAGTCCAGGTTTTGATTTCCGATGTAAGAACTGAAATTGGCTATATTTTAATTTCACTCTGCTACCTAAATTGGCCTGGTCCTTACCTACAATCCCGGATGTGGGCCCCTAATGGGACATTTGTGACGTGTCCCATTCTAATATAGTCTATACTTAGGGTTGCCAACCGGCCTCTATTACAGAGGACAGTCCTCTTTTTGATCTCACTGTCCTCTCGCACATTGAAAAAGCCCTCTCTTTTACATGGCAAACTGAAGACTTATAAAATATTGGCCTATCGCCATAATGCTTTAAAAAATTGTGAATCTGTGTTCTTTGCTAGTCACACTCGTTTGTATACAGAAAAAGAAATATTTATGTATGTGTAAGAAGTATTTGTGGAAGCGATAAATAAGTTTATGTTTTAGCTTATATTTTGAAAAAATTTGTTGTAATTAGTTTGTTTTATTTTAACAAGTTTTCAGTATAAATGTTTTTAAGACAGTTAAAAAGACCATCAATCGCATACCCTTTACCTTTCATACCCATTACCTTTTACATAACCTTTTGGTAAATTCTAGACATTTGGACGAGGTTTCTAAATATGTTTCGCCTGTGCCTCTTTGTTACCCTCTCGTCTCAATTTTTTATTTTAAAAGTAGGCAACCCTAGTTATACTCCTGGAACGTTCTTTCGTTTAATCTTTCAACCCCCATGTTGTTGTTTAAAAGGCGTTTTAAGTTGGTCCTTATCTCAAGAATTCTAGAAATGAAACAAAATTAACGAAAATATCAATTAAAGAAATCTATAGACATTCTTTTTCTAACAATTAAAGACCTACTATTGGAGAAACTTGTTTCAACTCTAATCAGTTTTATGGACCAACTCAACCCTCCCTGACTCGCCCGTCACTCGTTTTTATTTTATTTTCATCACTCCATTTGCTCCCTTTTTTCGCTACAAACGGACAGGGTGCACTGTGTGAGGAGGCAGAGGAAACTGTAACAACCCCCATCTGCGCGGCCACCTCTAATTGATTCAATAAGACAAAAACACGCACACCCGATGCCAAACATGGCGCTATCGTCGGGCGGAAAATAAAAATAAATACGGGACAAAATTCGAAAAATACGAATCGCCACGCGTGGGGGGAAGAAAAAGTAAAGGGGGAAAGGTGGGGATAAAATGCAGGACGTGACGTCGGCGTAATCGGGCCAATTTGGATCGAGACCCGGGAAAAAATTGCCACGTACAAAATGTGTCTTTGTTTTCTATTTTGACGGTCTAACTCTGTTAGAAACATTTATTTCAAATCGTTATGATATATTTTTCTGATTTTACTCCAGCACAGGGTGATTAAATCATTATGAAAAAGTTAGTTTACACCCAGGCTGATAAAATTAAGACAAAATCTATACAGGATGTTTCAAAAAATATGTGCGATCTCTCATAGGGATATTCCTCGCTTAAAAATAAGATTTATAGGTCCGATTCAGAGCTTTGTTTCATAACTACAAGTGTTAAAATCTTAATATTTTTTCGATTTATTATAATTTTCTACCAAGTACTTTTAGCGATTCGAATGAAATTTTGAGAGTAAAGTTACTATAAATGCGATATATTTTAATGCTAAAAACAGACCTGCATATACTCGTAGATTATCACTGTAATATTTTTCTAAAAAAGCATGTACGCCACTGACTTTTTTTCTCTTGTTAGCGAAATAGTGTAAGCAGTTTAATGTCGATTAAAACTTGTCTCTTGATATTTTGTTGATTTCGGCTTCCTTGATGAGATAAACGCAATTTTATTAATTTGCCTTGGTCCAAGTCTTAACAGCAATCTTTAAAAAAAATAATATCATTAACTTGCGAAGGTTTTAAATAAGTACTCATGCTTCCTCATCAAAAAATATGCCAAAAAGTTATATAAACATGTGTATGGAAATGCATAGTTTTAGAGTTGCAGGATGTTAAAACTTTTTAAAATTAGGTCTTTTGTAATTACCTTAAATACCATTATTTCTTATTTAAAATTGATCTAGAGATTGGACTAATAATAATATTTAATAATAAATTAAGTAAAATCTACAATTTATTAACTTTATATTTATTTTAACTTTATTAATTGTGATTCATAAAATTGCCTTTATCTCATGAAGGAGATCAAAATCGCCAAAATATCAATATACAACTTTTAATTGGCATTAAACGGCCTATTCCGCAATTTTGATATCAAAAGAAAAAAAGGCATTTTTTTGAAAAATATTCTAATGATAACCTATATGCACGTCCCTGGTGAATTTGTAGACACTTTTTAGCATTAAAATGTGTAGCACACAGAAACACGTCTAGAAGGATTTTTTTCGCAAAAAAATTAAAATTTGGACTGGCAAATTGCCGAAGAAATCAGTCAGTCAAAATATTTTTGGATCGGACATATTTCTGCATAGGTATCCCAGCAATGACAGAAAAAACAACGACATCGAACAGACAGAAAAAACAACGACAACCAAACCAAACTCAAACAGTATACAGTACAGTAAAAACAGTATATTCTGCTAGTTTTTCAAATCACCAAATTACGACATAGGATAACTCTATCACCCTGGAATCGCCATCTTTTATGCACAGAATGCATTATTGCACTTTAAACCATATACTTAAACGGGACAACCAAACTCACGAAAAATAATCTGTTAAAAAATAAAATTGAAGATTACTAAGAGATGATAGTAGAATGTTATGATAAAACTTATCACAAACAGTAGCCGCAGTTTTGTTAAAACGTTACACACTTAAGTTTGGGTAACATTAATCTTGCTAAATTTTGCATGGTTGTAATTACATACGAGTACCATGTGCAATAGCTATATTAACACAGTTTAAAGAATATAAAATATATCAGTTGACCCACTCTTCGCCCGTATCAAAATTCCTCCCGCCGCTCCCCGCCTGTCTTGTAGACTTGGGTCAGTCTACATCCGTTGCTCGACGTGTACACAGCGTTCCAAGTTTATTTTAGTTTTGTTTTCGGCCCGACGCATAGAGTGAACCAAAAATAGTGTTTTAGTTGTTTTGTTCGAATTGTGAATAAAATGTCTACTAGAAATATTTGTGCAGTGGATGGTTGTGAAAGTAGAATGACAGACAATATATCGTTCTTTAGGTGCCCAAAAGATGAAGGAAGGTATGTGTTTATATAGTATATGATATTAAGTATATAATAATTAAAATATTAGACATATTAAGTATATTATAATTATGGAAACCTAACTATGAATAAATTGTTTTAAAAATATACATATAAATTAAGAAAAGATTTTACTCGGAATATGCACAAAATATTTATTTTTAACAATTAGTTTATTATTTTAGAGTAGTAGTAGATACTTTACTATTATGTTTTGGATTTTGCAGTATTTACCGGTTTGCAAAGTGCATATTAAATTATTATTTAAGATATTTGCATTTCTTTAAATAGCATGTTTTACTTTTTAGATGTTTGTATTTAACTTTAACTACCTACCTGGAAAGTCCAAATTTTATCGTCAGGTAATAAAAATACGTGCATACAACTTCTTCTGCTATTGACAAGTTTTTTAGAGTTTTTACTAAATTTTATGTAACAGTAAATATAACAATTGAGGAGCACATGAGAAAAACGATGAGTATCCAGAAATGATAAATGTTCAGGAAACAGTTTTTTTTAATTGAAATTACGCATGGACTTTTATATCCGAGTTTATATCGTTTTCCCATTTTTAAATGCCTGTTTCTATGTGGCCATTATCGATATTGCCGTTTATGTAGGTACCAAAAGGTGTAGCCCCCTTTTCGGTACTTTCATTATTTTTCCCGTGTGCTCTTCAATTAGTAGTAAATACTGTAATAAATTATATTTGCATATTTCTTAAGTTATAGCATGTTTTGCTTTTCAGCTGTTTGCATTTAACTTGAATTATCTACCTTTTTATTAAAAGGTAATAAAAAGTACTTGGATACAACTTATCTTGCCATTGTCAATTTTTTTTCAGTTTTTACTAAATTTTATTACACAATTAATTTTATGAACAGTAAAATGTATTACACAATTAACTACTAACAGTCATAATTACTGTTCATGATAATCATAAAATTTAGAAAAAATTGCAAAAAAATTGACAATGTTAATACAAGTTGTATGCAAAGGTACTTTTATCTACTTTAGTCTACGTGACAGGGTATCTCTTAAAAAAATGTATAACACGTCACTCTTGCGATGTATGTGTTAATTTTACTAATAATACGGATACACTTTTTAAAGAAGAACTATTTTTTTGCAAATTAAAAGCCTATGAAAATGAAATTCCATTTGGTGGCCTGATATTTTATATTCTTTAAACTGTGATATTAAGTGCAATTATTTTTAAAAAGTTTATTTTTGTAAAAAGTCCATATGTACCTCAAAACACATTTCATATTTAGATTACATGATTTCACTACATGTTTTATAACTTTAATAAATATCAAAAAATATACTAAATTAAATATTTCTCTAAACGCGTACAGGAATATACAATATGCATTTATTTAAACTTACAGTTACATTAACAATCTATAAACAGAACGTCCATCTTTTCCAAATTCTGTAAGCAAAATTGGTTAAATTAAAACCACATTTTCATCAATAACAAACAAGAAAAAAAAAGAGCCAGGCAAATATTTTCTTCCCCCACCACTGCCACTCTCAATATCTTTCCATATACCATTTTACAAATATTTTCCCTGGAACGGGATCCACCCCGTTAAGGCGCATTTACAAAATAAACAAGACACTCCCCACCGCGATCGTAAACATTGAAGTTGTTGTGTACAGAGCTACCACACCGCAAGGGGCGGCGCTTAAAAAGGCTCTTCCCCGCGATTGGTTGCGTCCCATTGGCCTCTAAAATTAGAGGGGAGAATAAACCGACTCAGCATCCCACGCCAAACTAGAGAGACCAGTTTCAGGCAGTAAATTGTCGAGAGCGGTTCACCGTTTTCAGTTCCGTCAACTTTTTTCCTATCAGCTTTATTCAACGAGTTTTAGCGTTGTGACAATGATCAACTTAGAGCAACAACCGATGTTAGCCGTGACGCACCGGCCGCTTATATCATCGTTCTCCATTCGGTCCTTGCTCTATTCACAAACAGAGTCGGAAGATCCTGAATTACTGGTTCCGCCAACTGTTGAACCAAGTGAAACCGAGTCCCCTGAACCCAGTGAAACCGACGGTGAATTGTTGGACGTTATCGGAAATGGAGAGGAGTCTCCTTTAGATTATTCAAGGTCTGATGACGAGCAAACCAGAGAAGCCAAGTCAAAAGAGAAGCCTTCTCTAAGTTACAACGCGTTGATAATGAAGGCCATCGAAGACAGTCCAAAAGGTATGCTAACTTTGAACGGAATTTACGAGTACATCATGAAGAACTTTCCTTTCTTCCGAAACAAGAAGCAAGGCTGGCAAAATTCCATCAGGCACAATCTCAGCCTAAGTCAATACTTCAAGAAAGTACCGAGAAGCTTTGATGACCCGGGTAAGGGCAACTATTGGACGTTGACTGAAGCAGCTCGTGAAAATGTTTATATTGGAGGCACAACCGGAAAACTGAGAAGGAGATCGACTGCCGCTTCCAGGACCAGGTTAGCCGCTTTTAGGAGGTCTGTGAACTTGTATGGTACGTTACCAAACACGTATTCGCCTTGGTATCCAGCACCACCAAACCCTTCGCATTTTTGGCCTTTAATGCAAACTGCAAATCCTACGATTCCAATTATCAGACCTTCACCCATTCAACCTCAGATGTATAATATGGACAGGCTACTAGTGCCTCTGCCTCAGAGAGTGAGTTTCTTGCATAGACCTATGGAGTTTGGTAATTCGATGCTTCCAGAGCATTCGATGATGGGGCATCATTCATATCCATACCTCGTTCCTGCTGCTTCGCCTTCTGGAAGTTCTTGCGTATCAGATCAGTGAACTAATGAACTAAGTGTTTTTAGCAACGATCTTTAAAACTATTGAACGTGCTATATTTTAAAATGGACTAAGATAAAAAAAACTATGTGATAAATAGAGTTAATATTATTTTATATAGTTTTTTTTCGAGATCGAAAGGCATATTATATTGAATTTTATTGTAGTATGGTGCTATGAGCTATATTTCTGAAGAAAATTATTGTAGCAAATTACATGTTACTACATTACAACATGTAAGATTTTTGTTTCTGTACACTTTTGTCACTGTATTCATGTTTTATAAAATTTATCCTAAATTTTTGTTTTGAAATAGTTTGTTTATTAATGGCAGATGTAACATCAAATATTGATCTTGAAAAATGCTATACCTACCTGATACCAAATGTAGGTTGTAATTATAGAGTGTATGTTCCTTAATGATAGAGTTGATGATACTAAGACTGCATTGTTGTATATTTTATCAAAAATATTTGTATAAGTTTTTAAGTATTAGACATAATTGTGATATAACTTTAAGAAAAAATGAATAATTATTAAATTACTCCATCGATATAATAAAATTTGTTTTATTTGTGAAATATCCCCATATTCAATACAAATATCAATAATATTTTAAATATATACCTATTATATTTTTTAATATATAAAATATTTTTGAAATATTTGATAAAAATGATTTTCAAATAATTCTAAACTCTAATTATTTAATTTAAGTTCCTAATGGGCTTTAGAGAATTTTTAGAGATGAAATTTTATGTGTTTTTTAATTATTGAAAGTAAGTTGTCTAGTTTAAGTTTATTGCTTCGAAATTTAAATTATTTTTAACACACTTTCAATAATTTTTTTCCGTAAATAAAATGGGTAAAACTTATTCATCATTTTTAAAATTTACATAAGATTTTCTATGGTCGACTATGCAACAGACTATACGTATACCTATTATGCAAAGAATATATATTTCCTATACTCTTTGGTATATGAATGTAGCTTATTCTTAACGGCTACCATAAATCTCATATTCGCTGGCAATAAATTCTGTTCAATCTTATTTCATTAATTTTTATTTAATCAATAATAGCTGGATAATTAAATAAAAATTACGTTATTTTTTAAATTATTATCTATAAAAAATGAGACGTACATAAAAAATGTAAAAAAATGCTTGCTCTTGATCTTGCCTAAATCTGGTACTGGTTGGTCTTGGTCTTGCTTTTTGTGCAACACTAAGACTATTCCTGCCCATATTTTTAAATAGGCTGCGAAACAAAAAGATTAAAATAGGTAATGTTAAAATACTAAAACGTTTTACTTAGGTTCATATTACTGCCATTTAGATGATATTCATCCAGGTTCGTTTTTGATTCGACCCCATAAAAAAGGCATGTTAAGTCCGCTGTCCAAAATATACCAAAAAAAAATAAAAACAGTAGGCATGTCCCCGGATTGTCTTTACAAGAGGAAAAACTTTTTTATTATGAGAAAAATGTATTCTTCAAAAAAAACTTATTCTAAGATGGTTAATTTCCTTCATAATTTTGCAAATTTCTATATACTGTTTTAGAGAAAATTAAAAAAAACATGAAAACATGGTTAATTTTTTTCCTTGAAAGTCCTAAAAATCAAAAAGCGTTCCTATATGGTAAATAATATAATTTCGTTTTCATTTTTTGATAGATTGTTATTTGATTAGGATTTTAATTAACGCCATATTTTAAAATATTAAAGAAGCATGAAATTTATTTAGTTCAATGCTACGGAAAGGGTGATACGAAAAATAAGTTATCGAAAAATGTGATACTTTAACAATATAACAGTAAAAAAATATGACGTTAATCAAAATTAATAATAACTAACCATATTTTCATGTTTTTTTTTTTTAATTTTCTCTAAACCGCTATGGAAATTTGGAAAAGTGTAAACGGGATTAACCATTTTAGAACAAGCAAATTTTTTTTTTATGGAGGATGCCTTTTTCTCAATATGTCAAATAATAAAAAAGTTTTTCCTCTTGTAAAGACAATCCGGGCACGTACTATATATTTTCCACTGATTACAACAGAAATGTTTAAAATATTTCTTCAAATGCATTATTTAAAAAAAAAAATGTTGAGGCGGTGGGTTCATCTTTCAATGCAGTAACTCTACTAGTCTTTATACCTGCTTTGAGTGAAAAAAGGTGCAAAATCCCAATAATTGTACAGTTATATTGGAAGGCGTCACTAAATCACAGCAAAGCTATATAAATATACCTAAATTTTATAGCCTTTTTCTCTGCGATGGTCATGTTTACACCAAAGTAATTAGAAAAAGAATGCTTCCAGTCAGTCAAAGAAAGGTAACGACCAACCTTATGGTCATAAAAGTTAAATTTGAAGCCTGGACTGGGTTTATTTTTGATAGGATTATATCGGTCCCTTTAGAAAAGGGGCGGCTAGCTTACTAAAAGATAGTCAGCGGTTTACCTAAACATTTTCCAACTCATAATGGAATTTTCAATTGCTAAAGCATAGTATATTATCTTATATTGTTAAACTACCAAACTACTGCCTTCAGGGCAGGTCAACTTTTAATGGTTTATTACAGTAACAATATAATTTTTGATGGCAAGTTTCTGAACTTTTAACAGAAGAGAACATTTCATAGACTTAAAATAAAATATAGACTACACTATTTACATCTCAACGCGGACAAACAACCTTTTTTGTACACATGTTTACTTCTGGGTACAGTCGACCGAGCCTTCCTCATCCAGCCTATGTTGTCACGTCTTTAATATTATCAATATTTTTTTTCTTGTTATACACATATATTGAGATATTAATACTACAGTTTAAAAAGTAGGTTTTAATATTCCAGAGATGTATTAAATAGTCCTTATACTACTAAATTATAAGTCGGATACTGTTTAAAAAGGATAAGTTCTTTACAATATGACAACACCGATTAGAGGCGAGGGAGCCTATTCATTCATTTATTACCTTGTAGTACGTGTCGCACGTGTGCGGTAAAGCTTTGTTGCCGCTATCTCCCCGGCTGTATTAACGCATTTTCTTAGCTTGTAGTGCTTAAGTGTTTATTTTATTGACTTTTTCTGTTCAAGAACTATAAAATATGGTTCGCCAGTGCCAAATTTGCAAGAAATTTGACTTAAATAATCCATTTAAGTCTTGAAACGACTTTTGACCGGTAGGCAACTCTCAATTTACCCATTGGGAGTCAGTGGCGTTGTTGTAGAAAGGCGCTTATTTAGATAATATTTTAGTAAAATGTAAAATCTGAATTTTTTCTCTTACATTACATTATTTACTTACTTACATTGTAACAAAATCATAATTATAACCCTGTTAATAATTAATAATGTTTTTATTAAAAATATATTCCGGTTTATTCTAAAATTATCTTCAGAATCTAAAATAACATACAAGAATTTTAAAATGATATTACATTATGAAACAATATTTTTTAATATACCGGGTCGTCTCAAAAGTGGCTCAACCCTATAACTTTTTTATTTTTTCAGATAAAAAACAGATTTGTATGTTAGTAGGTATATGACATAAATTAGGATTTATTGACCTATGCAATTGTTTTTGGTCTCTTCCTGTTTCACCGAAATGATTACATCTTTTGATTTTTAAAGGCACCCTCGGTATATTGCTACTTTATTCGATAAAAAATGACACTCTGAATAGAATGACATATCATATGTCAACTTTTGACATTGTCGCTTAAAAACATATCCTATTTTAAATTTCAATCCAGTTTTTTTCAATCCACTAAGTTTCAATCAAGGAGCCTTGGAAAAATAGTTTTGATCGTCTAATAGGTTTCGTGTCTTGTCTAGGCCGGTTAAAAGATGTACAAATCGTATTTTTAATCATACATATGTCAATTTTTTCAAATGGAACAAGGGTGACTCATTAGCATATTTGGAAAAAGCATTTTTTTATGAATATATTGATACCACACACTTGGTATTTCGAATCAAATTGTCGTTATGAACCGCGTGTTACAATTAGAATTAAACCATATGCGAAAATGTCAAAAGTTGACATATGATATGTCATTCTATTCAGAGTGTCATTTTCTATCGAATAAAGTAGAAATATACCGAGGGTGCCGTTTAAAAATTAAAAGTTATAGTCATTTCCGGTGAAACAGGAAGTGACCAAAAACAATTGAATGCGTCAATCAATCCTAATTTATTTCATATACTAACATACTAAATCTTGTTTTTTTATTTGAAAATATAAAAAAATTATGGGGGGATGAGCCACTTTTGAGACGCACCCGGTATAATAAAGACAGTACCGAGTTAAATAAATGTAGTTTTTATTTTATCCACTTCCTATCACCTTCACAGAACAGATTTATGTTTTCTCTAATTTACATAATAAGACATCACTTAACCAGAAAAAAAATTACAACAATCATATTTTTTTTTCTCTCCCTGTCGCCGATTCTATTATATCTGTGGAATAGATCCTGTTTTGATTAATATTAGGGGTTGTAAATGTTTGACTAAAATTAATAATTTATTATTAATTTCAAAAAATACCTAATTTCGATTATAAAATTTCTTCTATAACGTGTATTTTATTATTTTTATCCTTTTTGCTACTAAATTGTTTTTCTAAACTTTTATTTAAAAAACCTGTCCTAAATCTTAATAAAATATAAAAAAGTTTAAATACGATATATTTTTAATTTAATTATAGCTTCATTAAAATAAAAAAATTACCCGGCTATGATACGGAGAGTTCAGGTGTACTTGAGAAACGAAAGACAGTGTTGTGTTTCTCGGCAGAGTCGTCAGGGAACGACCGTTACGACAGAGACAACCTATCTATCGCTCGTGACGCACTCATTATAACCTAAAACAATAACAAGACAGTATCTGACCGCATGTTCCAGCTATTTATGAATGAGATGCTCAGTCTATATTTTATTTTAAGTCTATGGAACATTTATTCTTAAATTGAATACCGCAATAATAGCATTTTAAATGATAATTTAAATACTATTATAAAATACTTAATAATAGCATTTTATGAATATAATTTGCTATTCGTATTAGGTAATACCACAGACAACTTTTAAAGTATTTAGACAAAGCGCTTAGTTCCATGACAGCTGCGGCCATTACTATATGATAGCCACATGTATTTTCTTTATGTCACAGTGTCACATATTATATATGTCATATCATATCTCATTTTTTTTACTATACTATCCTATACCTATCTCTTATAGGTTTCCAGAAAAAAATAAAGTATTTGTAAAATTGACAAACATGATTTTGAATAAGCAATGGTAAAATCATGAATTGAACATTTTTAAAGTTAGATAAGTTATAATGTATTATAAGTAATTACGAGTATATACAGTGGTGGCCAAAAGTATGGAAACTTTTTTAATTTGTCATTTATGCTGAGAAATTAAAATATGAAATAAAACGACTTATATAATCGTGACCTACAAATAATTTCCTACTAAACCTAATA